TACTAAATCATCAAACGCATCATATTCTTCTTCATCCTCAACATCTCCAATGCCTAGGATTCTTCTTTTGCCGGCTAGCACAATAAACCATTTTGAATCGACTAGGTCAGTTACGTAGAACACTTGCTTAGCTTGAGATGCAAGGATGAATGGTTCCGCACTATCATTCAGGTGGCCAAGATCTACAAGAGTGAAGTCATCATATTTGACGTTACGCCTGATATTATCAACCCACTTACATTGGAAAAGAGCAACCATGAAGTTACAATAATCAAGCTCCTATATTTCTTGAATTCGACCATAGTATGACAACTCTGCATCAACGGGTGATTTATCCTTAGCACTTGCAAACTCCCTTGGCGATGTCACAAGTGTTACACCACTGGTCGAGGAAGATTTCAAATCCTGATGCTCAGTCCAAAAAGTGTACTAATTTATGTCATATCCCTCAAATGAGCGAATTTCATCCCTAGGACCATAAGCAAGCCACCTTATTGTATCAGTGACACTCTCATCTAATCGACCCATCACTTGATCACGAAACCAACTCACAGACCTCTTATTATGCAACTGCATCAGTGCCCTTTCGCTTTTCGATGGAAATTCATCACGCTAACTAGCCATGTGCTCGTCTAAATATGGGTGAACATCTGCAACATGGTGCAACACATATAGGTGTGCTTGTAAGAACTTATCTCGGTCATGGGACATTTGTTTCGACCCAATTGTGCCATGACCATCAAGTCTCCCTTCATGTCGAGCAGTAGGAAGACCAATAGGTTCAGCAACGGCTATATAGTCGGCCACAAAATTACTAATCTCCTCACCCACGGTCCCTTGAATCATACTTCCTTCCGGGTGACCCCGATTCCTTACTTTATTTTGCAATGTACCCATGTGTCTTTCAAAAGGATAGCACCACCTCATGAACACTGCACCGCACAACTTAATCTCAGTCACCAAATGAAGAATCAGATGCACCATTATGTCAAAAAATGAGGGTGGGAAGTACATCTCAAATTTGCACAAAGTCACAACCACATCCGCCTGCAAAGCATCAAGTGTACAAGGATCAAGCACTTTGCTGCATATTGTATTGAAAAACGAACAAAGTCTTGTAATAGCTTCCCTCACGTGCTTCGTTAAAATACCACGTATTGCAATTGGTAGGAACACTTGCATCATAACGTGACAATCATGAGATTTCATACTTGTCAGCTTCAATTCTCCATTTAAGGATACAAAGCTTTTCATGTTAGATGCGTACCCTGATGGAACCTTAATGCCGTACAGACATGCACAAAACATCCATTTTTCTACCCTTGACAATGTGTAGCAAGCCGGAGGTAAATAAGTCTTTTCATCCTTGGCTTTTCCCTCATATTTCTTTTTCGACGCATCCGTGGCCTTTCCATTTCCCTTGCTCTTCCCCTTTCCTTTTTTCAAACTCATTTCATTTTCCTTTTCCTGTTCCTTTCTTTTTCTAACCTTTTCCTGAGCCCACAATTTTGGACGAACCCCCATCTTTTCCAAATCTAACAGTGCACCCTTTCCATCCTTTGTTTTGCCTTGAATATTCAATAGCGTTCCCACAAGAGCATCACACACATTCTTCTCTATATGCATCACATCAAGACAGTGCCTAATGTCATGTTCTTTATAGTACGGAAGCTTCCAAAAGATTGATTCTTTTTTTAAGAGAGCAATTGGGTTCGAGCTTTTTCTGTTTTCCCAAATACCGTTCATATACCCTTAACTCAAGCATAAACCTCCTCACCAGTCAATGGCCTAGGCGCAGTCCCCTCTTCAGCTGTCCCACTGAAAACCTTTTTCTGCCTACGGTACGGGTGATTGCGCCTGAGCAACCTTCGAGTCCGCACGTACACCTCTTTGTGAGAATGATCAAGGCGCATGCTTGGTGTGTCATCAATACAAATGGGGCATGCTTTTTTTTTTTCCTTTGTTTTTGTACCCAGACAAGTTTCCATATGCAGAAAAATCATTAACGGTCCACATAAGAGCTGCACGCAATGTGAATATCTCATTCTTATGAGCATAAAAAACGGAAACCCTTTCGTCCTACATCTTTCTCAAATCGTCAAAAAGTGGCGCAAGATAAACATCTATGTCGTTTCCAAGTTACCTTGGCCCCATTATTAGTAGTGAAAGCATTACATACTTACGTTTCATGCACAACCATGGAGACAAATTGTAGATCACTAAAAGTACCGGCCATGTGATGTGTTGGGTACTAAGAGTGTCAAATGGATTCATCTCGTCCGTGCACAACCCAAGCCTTGACTTTTTTGACTTCATCACCAAATTTCCCAAACTTCATATCAATGTTCTTCCATTGCGGGGAGTCGGCTGGATGCTTCAACATTCTGTTTTTCTTTCTTCCCTCTGCATGCCACCTCAAGTTTTTATTCTCAAGTACACGATGTAGATAATTACTTACCCACATATGTACCCAGAGAACATGGTGAGGAAATGGTAAGCCAAGATGTTCCTTAAAATTGAAAAAAAAGACATACATTCACCACCTAAGTGAGAATAAACGTTCAAGAACAGTCCCAACTGGGGACTATTCAAGACTTTCTCCTAATGAGAAAGCCTTGAGCAGGTATCTAGGCATATGATGATGCAAGCATTTTATATATTGTTTTTATTTGTCATTAAACAATACACAAGTTGTAATAGCATGAAAAAACTTTTATTAAATGGATAAAGAGAAAGAAATATAGCTTAGTAAAGTTTATGATTCATACTAGGGCTGAGCAAAAAAATCCAAAAAACCGAACCATTACCGAACCGAAAAATTGGGTTCCCGAACCGTTAAAAGAAAACGGGACGGATAACCGAACCGTTAAGAATTTAACGGGACGGGTTGCGGGTACCCGTTAACGCTTTTTTGGGTACCCGAATTTCCCGAAAATCCTTTTTTTATAAAAGAAAAAAAAAAAAACTGACATTTGAGATTTTCAAAAAAAAAAAAAAAAGAAAATCAATGAAACAAGAAAGTGAAAAACCCTAATTAACCCTAAACTCTTGTTTTTCCAGATCCTTGGTTCAATTTAGGGTTCTTCGAACTTTGGGGCCTTTTCACGTTTACGCTGCGTCGCTTAACCCCTTCATCTCCTCCATTGAAGCGTACTTCGACTTCTCCATCGAAGCGGCTTCTGAGGTTTCACTCCTCCGTCGAAGACTCGAAGCAACTATTGAGGTAATTTACATTTTATATTATTTGTGGTTTGATTTTCGGATTCATAAATGTTAATTTTTCCTAATTTTTTTTTATTGTGATACTATTATTTTGCTTTTTTGAGGAATGATACTAATTTTGGTTTTCAGAATTGAGGGTTTTTTTTTTTTTTGTCAAGTTGTGTTTGTTAGATTTGGATGAGTGAGTAAGGTGGGATTGATGTTGCTGATAGTAAGAAGAATCATGAATTTGGCTATTGGTCGTATCTGGTTCTATCTCACAATCTTAATGACTTAATTTAGTTTTAATATGAGTAGTTCATTCATACACCAATCAATGGTTCTAGAAGGGGTAATGTGCATCAGACTAAGATAATCAGTGGTACCATTGCGTGTTATACTGTTATACTCCTCTTTTCTGTAACTGGGTAGTGTAAAAAGTATGTATGCATCTTATTTGTTGTGGGGGTTAAAATTGAGGTTACTAACTTACAATCGGGCTTAAAAAATTCTGAGAACCATAGCTAACTCAATCAAATCAAATCAAATATAGAATATTTGATACTGGAAGTGACCTGTTTTGTATTTATTTTTGCTGTTTAAAAGAAATTTTTGATCAGTCATTCTTCTAATGAGAAGCTAAAAACCCCCATTCTTGGCTCCCTTCTTTTCTTATGTATAGTAGACATTAGACAATCTGATTATTGATTGCATTGATTGTATAACCTTGCCTGTGTTTTATTGGTGCCATTCTAGCATTTCTTGTCGAGAAGATAACAACACAACTCTCTCTCTTTGACCGTCAAAAGTTAAATGGTTGTACTGTTGTTTTAGAAATGTCACTTGCTAATTAACATTTTAGAGATAAAACTTTGTTGTTGATTATAGTGAATGCATTCCTCATCATTATTGATAAGTAGATGGTAAGCTGTTCACAAAGAAAAAAAATGGAAACTTAAGCTTATCAACAGTTTATTTTCATAGACAAATACTAATTTATCATTGTTATTATTATTTTTTTTATATACTTAATTTTAATTATAGGTATCACAACTACCTGCTACATTGTGTTAGAACTTAGAAGAACTGGGCTGATGTTGATATTGGTATATGTTGTTTTCTTATAAATTATGTCAGACGTTTCCTTTGAATTTAATAGAACTCACCTATTTTTCATTTTATAATGACTGACTTATGGGTTATGACTGTAAGGTGGATCTGTTAATACACCCATTTGCGAGGCTCTATGGCCTCATGGGTCCTGGAAAAAGGGTTTCTATTCCTTAACTTGTTTAACTTCTTTCTCAGAGACTGTTCTTTTTATAAAGGAACTTTTTATTTTTTATTTATTTATTTATTTATATTTTTTTTATATATATAAAGTCTTCTACTTTTCTTAGTGCTAGTTGAATGGGATTTGTGTTTTCTTGTTGTTGAGAAGTGAGTACTCAAACTATAAAGCCTTCAATTATGCTTAGTGTAATCTTTCTAATATAAAATATCATAATCACTGATTTCTAGTTTCTCTTATAAAGATTGTCTACATTTCGTTACTCTTCTCAAAAGGAGTGGACTACGTTGATGCTCCAACTCCATATATCATCGGCCTTCATTCAAATGTTGAGTAAACTAGCTGTTCATTTATTTGTTTATGGTATGTGAACTTTGGTGGTACCATTGTTAGCTATGACTCATTCTTGTTATTTGTGTATACATGATTGAACTTATTTGTTTTGTTCATTTGTAGGAGTGTATGGAATCTAGAAGTAATGGGGATATGGAAGACTCATCGGCTACAAGTCAAGCTCCCCCAATTCAATTCCAAGTCCTCCTCCCGAGCCTTGGGAGTATGACCCTTGTCCAATGACGGAAAATAATGACCCCTTTGAGCAGCAAAATCAATCAAACCAACCTTCTGGAGCTGTTGATGCTGCTGCCCCCTTAGGTGAAACTTAAAAAAAAACTAGAAAAAGGCGCTCTCCTCATTGGAAGCATTTTATAAAGAAGGATGGAGAAAACAAGGCTGAATGTATCTATTGTCATACATTAATTGGCTGTGCATCACTTCAAGGTACCTCCGGCATGAAGAACCACATAAAGCGATGTAAGGAATACCCCCCAAACATTGATCAAAATCAGCAACTATTGTCCCTTAGTCAACAAACTCTTGATGGGAATCTTGTGGATAAAAAAAAGGTAGACTTGAGTTGTGGAAATTCAATCAAGAAGATAGTAGGAAAGCTCTGGCAAAGATGGTGATTATGGATGAAATGTCTTTTCGAATGGTGGAGCATGAAGGTTTTCGCAACTTTATGAAGGTAACACAACCCTTCTTCATTATTCCTTCTCAATGGACAGTGACTAGAGATTGTTTTAGGATTTATTTGGATGAAAAAAAAAGTTTGAAAAGTTTTTTTTAGCAAGTGTACTTCACGTATATAAGTCTCACCACTGATACTTGGACTTCTTGCCAAAATATGAATTACATGTGTTTAACCGCTCACTTTATTGACCAAAATTGGAAATTGCACAAAAAAATAATTAATTTTTGTATAATTGCTGGTCATTCTGGTGAAACAATTGGTAAATCTGTCCAAAAGTGTCTACTTGAATGGGGTTTTCTAGAGTAATGACTGTCACTGTAGATAATGCAAGTTCAAATGATGTTGGCATTCAATATTTGAAAAGGAGGTCTGAAAGTTGGAAGACTTTAGTTTTGGGTGGTCGGTTTTTGCACATGAGATGTTGTGCTCACATATTAAGTTTAACCGTTAAAGAAGGATTGAAAGAAAGTGATGTGTCAATAAAAAGAATTTGTTGTGCTGTTAGGTATGTAAGATCATCGGGTGCTAGATTGCAAAAGTTTATGAGTTTTGGTAAACAAGAAAAGTTGGAGTCAAAACGTTTTCTCTGTTTAGATGTGGATACTAGGTGGAATTCTACTTATTTAATGTTAGAAGGTGCTTTGGCATTTCGTAGGGATTTTGATTTGCTTGAATGTTCAGATGGTGGTAAATTTAGGTATGAGTTACAGAAGTCAGATGGGGTGGGTGCCTGAACCTAGTGATTGGGATTCTGTTGCTTCTTTTCTTCCTTTACTTAAAATATTCTATGGTGCTACTCTACGAGTTTCCGGCTCGTTGTATATCACCTCTAATGTGTATTTACAAGAACTTGTTGGGATTAGTGTGTTAATCAAGAAAAAAGTGTTGAGTAATGATGTGGGGGTAAGTTTAATGGCTAGTGGAATGAAGAAAAAGTATGACAAGTATTGGGAAAATGTTGATAATGTGAATCTCTTGTTGTATATTGCTATCATTCTTGATCCTAGGCGGAAAATGGGATATACTAAATGGGCAATTAATCAACAATATGATTCTGAAAAAGCTAAATACTTGTGTGATAAAGTGATGCAAACTCTGAATGACATGTATAAACTTTATGTTTTTGAAAACCCTCCAAATGAGTCCATTCCCCCTAAAACTTCTGATTTTCCGGAGGAAGTAGAAGATATGGATTCTGATGTAGATGTTGCGGAATTAGAATTTGAAAAGGAGGTGGGTTCATGTGTTGGAGTACAGGGGAAAAATGAGTTCGCCAAGTATTTAGAAGATGATTGAGAAGTTAATCCTGTCGGAAAAAGCTTTGATTGTTTGGGGTGGTGGAAAAAATATGGTGAAAGGTACCCAACAATAGCTCTCATGGGTAGAGATGTACTTGCCATTCCCGTGTCAACAGTCGCTTCCGAATCAGCTTTTAGCACTGGTGGTCGAGTGCTTGATTCATTTCGTAGCTCACTCTCAACTAAGATGGTTGAAGCCTTGATTTGTGCACAGGATTGGTTACTTACATCTCAAGGTCCTCTTATACTTGAGGAGAGACTTGAAGATATGGAAAATATTGAATCAGGTAACATTTAAATATTTTCTCTCTTTTTTAATCTCATTATCTTCTTGTTAATTATTCATTAACTTTTTTTTTTTTTTTTTTTTTTTTTAAGAAATGTTACCTCTTGGTAAGGAACATTCTCTCTTTGTTGATGATGATTAGAGGCAGCAACTTATAATCATGAAGGTTGGTGGTGATTGTATTGAAGGCCGGAAGTCATTGAAGGCTTGGAGTATTTTATGAATTATGTTTACTATGGACTAGTTTTGTTTTTAAAACTATAAACTATGGACTTTTTTTTTTGTTATGTATTGGTTTATTATTGTTAACTATGGACTTTTTTTTTTAAAGAAACAGTATGTTTGTATCAAGTATTTGTTCTTTTGTAATCGGGTTGATGTGTTGTGTTATGTGTATTCAGGTTTAAATATCAGCCTATTAGGCTGTTATTTGTTACAAAAAAAATCAAAGTACTAATAACAATAATTAATACTAGAAAAACAGGTGGAAGTTTGAACAAAAATATTATTAAGCAGGTGGGTAAAAGGAGGACAGGCAGCCAGGTAGGAGAGGTAAGGAAGCAGCAGCCTTAAGGACAGGGATTGGACGATTGGTAGGTTGCCAAAGCGGAAGGTAGCGATAGTTGATTAGTTGTAATCATTTTTGTTATTTGTGTATTTAAGTTCAATTGTTATATTTCAAAAAATAGGAAGTAAAAAAAAAACTAGTAAAAAGCATCTAAAAACAAATTGCAAAGCAAGTTTTAAATAAATAAAAAGACCCAAAAATAAAAATTTAGCTTATTGGTTCGGTTCAGATATTTGGTTCGGGTACCCGTATTTTCGGGTATTCGAATTTACGGGTACCCGAACCTTATCGGAACGGTTTCGGGTATCGGTTTTAGCCTTAACGGTTATCGGGTCCCCGAACGAATAACGTTAGTGGAACGGGTACCCGTCCCATGCTCTCCCCTAATTCATACCAATATAGCTAGTACAATGGATGTACTCTTTCTACTTCCCACTTGAGCTAAATATGTAGTCTTCAAGTTAAACTTGTGCTTCACATATATGAATCTATAAAAAAACAAAACAAAAAACAAAAGTTAGTAAATACCTACATACATTGCTAAAGTATAACGCATCATTAATTAAACTAACAATTGCTAATCACTAATTTATTTAAAATTTAGACTAATTAATGTAATTTCACTAATTTATTCACTAATTTATAACACAATTGCTAATCACTAATTCAACCACATTATATTTTACATACCAAAATTCAAATAACTAACAAAGTTACTAATCTCTAATTTTTTCAAAATTTCCCATTAAACCACCTAAAATTCACAAAAAGAAACATATAATATAGACAATTTAGGCAAAAGGAAGGCAGTTAGGCAGTTAGGCAGCAATTCAACAAATGCAATTAGACAAAAAATGAAAGACAACATTCACAATTAGTCAATTAGACAATTTCGACAACATTCACAATTAGACAATTTCGACAACATTCACAAATCACAATTCGACAATTTCGACAGCAATGAAAGACAACATTCACCATCACAGTAATTCACAACAAGCCAGCAATACGCATTAAAGGAAACCAAAAAGGCAAGCTGACTAGATACCAGGTCTACTGTTCGAGGCCGTGCCGCCGTGACAAGAAGTCTGTTGTGAATGTACAGATTACCCCCTTCTAATCTACTTCCGCAATAAATCGACGATAACCCATAACAAGAAGTCAAGAACAATGTACAGATTACACTAATTACAGAACATGAGAACAATGTAGTACATATTAGCTACCTCAAGAACAACCTCCATTGATAAACACTCTAAAACAATAGACATTCCGCATTTCAAGTTTTCAACACTTCAACAATCAATAATCAGCTGTGGTGGAAGGGGTCTTGTTGCAGGTGGTGGTAGTGGTTGAGGTGGAGTCGTGCGTGCAGGTGAGAAAGCTTACAAGAACCCTATATTACAAGAACCCTAAAATTACTATACTGAAAATCAAATCAACGACAAACCCTAGATTGCAAAATTAGAATTCAATAATTTAAAAAGGACAAAAGAAAAATCTTACCTTGAAGCTGCTTCAATGGAGGTGAGAAAGCTCAGAATCCGCTTCAATGGAGATTTAAGAGCATGTGCTTCAATGGAGGATAGATATGGAGAGAGAAGGAGGTGCAGCGTAAAAGTGAAAAGCTCCAAAGGAAGAAAAATGAAAACTTCGGAGGGAAAACAAAAATGAAAAAAGCAGGGGGAAAGAAAGAAGAAGAAGAGAAGCCATCCGATTTTTTTTTATTTTTTTATTTTTTTATTTTTTTTTTATTTTTTTTAATTCACACCGGTTTGAACCGGTTCTAATAACAACATTTCGCATCAGATTGGTTTGAATCGGTGCGATTACTCTTTCCCTCTTTTTATTTTTTTATTTTTTTAATTCGTACATGGTTTGAACTGGTGCTAATAACATCATTTCGCACCGGTTTGGTTTGAACCGGTGCGAATTCCCCTTTCCCTCAATCCCGCCTATTTTTTTTGGCACCGTTTTTTAAAAATCGGTGCGCATTTTGCGGTGCTCATTTCTGTTTTTATACTAGTGATTGTATCCGCATAACCCACATCACCGACATGCCACCGATTGATATGTCTACTAATATTATGTCAGGTGATATTATACTCCACATATATTGTGCTTTGGTAAAATGATGACGGTTTAAATTATGTAGTATAATGGCTAAAAATAATATGGTGAAAATGTTCGGTTAAAAAAGTGGAAAAAAATAGCAAAGTAAGCTTAAAAAATCAGAAATTTCTAAAAAGTAGCTAAAAAAATTAAATAAAATAGTTCTAAACCCATTGGGTTGACCTGAAACCGAAACTTTGGGTTAGGTTTGAGCATTTCTCGACCCGTGACCTGACCCTAAATGATCCGTGACCCAGAGCGACCCGACCCGGTCGACCCGATTGACAAGTCTACTTGCACCTATACTTGCTCCCATTTTCCTATTGTTATCATTATGGTAATCGTGCATTCAATTGTTTATGATTTTTTGAAAAAAGACTTTCGAACAAAAATTCACGAATTCTATAAATTAGATTGACTACAAAATGCATTCAACTTTACTAATCTATTGATAAAAGAAAGATAGTACATAGTACTATACATATTGCCTATATATATTTTAATCATAAATTGCATTATTGTTTGTGGTCAGATATCAAGACTAAAAAATATAATAAATACGTAAGATATCTTAATCGAATCTATATATGAAAAAATAGAAAATTTTGTTCATATATTATATTGATATATTATAATAATTGATTTTATTAGTATAATAATTAGTAATATTATATTGTACTATATTTTGCCATATTGCCATATTTAGTTATATGAATACATGAACATATTTTCCTTAAAATATATATATATATATATATATATATATATATATATATTATACTAATAGATCTTATTAGTATAATAATTGATATTATTATATTATACTTTACTTTGTTCCCATATCAATATATGTAATCCCCCTTATTTTTAAATATTTTATAAATGAAATTTTATTTTATTTATAATATTTATTTGTATTTTTCCAGAATTTAATTTTCAAATTATTAATTTGGGTAAAAAAATATTCTAGGCTAAATTATTTTATGAACCTATATCCTACAATCCATTATTATAAAAAACAAAGCCTAACCCATTTGTTTATTTAATTGGCTCATTATTTTCATGAGGCCCAATCCTACCCTACAATTCTCTCCTGTAAATACCCCATAAATCCCTAAATTTTCCTCCACACAAAAATGTTAGTCTTATTTTCTTCCTACCTCTTGTTTTCTCTTCTTTTGTTAATTCAACCCAAGTTTAAATCTTTATCAATTTTTGTTATTTAATTGTTATTATTATGGTTTGATTATTTATGAATTATAAAAGATTATAAATTTATAAGTTTTATTATGTTTAAATTATGCATCAAAAATTCAGATTTATTTAGTTAAGAAATTAGGGTATGAAATTTAATTTTCATGGTTTTAGGGCTTAAAAACGTGTTGCTAAAGTTATTCAATTTAAGCATGATTTTATTGTGATTCTACTATGATTATGATGATGTTTAGTTCAAAAGCAAGTTTTCAGTTTTTCATAATCAATTTCTGATTTACGTTCTTAATTTCTATTAATCACGTTTAGATTCTAACTCATCCGATTTTTACAAAAGAATAGTGTTTTTCGTGTTTAAACAACGTTTTAATCAAAACTCACTACCTTTGGTAGTGAACACCAACCTCTTGTGGCCAAATTCAGCCTCTAAATATGGTTTTCGGGCAGTTTTTGATTTTTAACGAAGGTTTAATGTTTAAAATAAATTTTCAAATTTTTATAAAGCTCTAAACTTGTTGTAATTTTATTAATAAGTAAGTATTTTAATGTTTTTATGTAGGAAATTTTAAGAATAATATATAAGCTTTTAATTCTAGCAAAAATGAAGGTTTTAAAGTGTTGTTTAATTGAATTTTGAAGCTTTGATTGAGTTTTTATAAAACTAATTGAATTCTAATTATATATTTCAAGTTTAAATTTTTATATTCTTACATTCTACTATTACATTAAATTTTCAGATTTTTAATCTTGGTTTTAAATCATGGTTTTATGATGGATTTTTAGGTTTTTAACATACTAACCTACTATATAATGATTATTTCAATTAGAGATGTTTATGAGGTTGTTTTATAATGTTAAACTAAATTTCCAGATCATAATCCTTACTTTAAAGTTGCTGGAATTTTATGTTATAAGCTATATTTTCTTGATTTTAACATATAAACTTATACTTGAACTATTGAATTATTAATTAACTTTGACTATTGTGAGTAATTTAAAAGCATTATTTCAATGGTTTAAGGGGTTTTAAAGTAAGTTAGTATTGCTGTAAATTATATTGCTTGGGTATTGATTGAACCATTATTGTTTGGTTTAGGAGAGAACTTCGTAGAAGGTGACTTCTAGTTTTAAAGTGGCCAACCAACTCGTGTACTCAAGGTACGTACAAGGATACGAAAATCTTGACTCTAGAAACATGTTTAAGGACTTGGAAGACTTAGAATCATGTTAGGAAACTTGTGAATCGGTTGGAATTGTATGGTAGTAAGTTTGATTGGTGAATAATGTGAAAATTGGTTTTGTTTCATGTATGAGAATTGCGTATTAATTTATCTTGTAAGCATTATTTATGCATTAACTTGCAAGATGAGCTTAGAGGCAAAGGTACGTGAATATGTGGAATGAATTATTTTAATACTCGTTCATGTTTATTGAAATGGAATGAGTAAAGGAAGAATTAAAG